GCTATATAGTTCAGGCTGGCCTTGAGCTCATTTTGTAGCCCAGGCTGGTCTCAAACTCACAACAATCCTCCTGCCTCAGCCTCCCGAGTGCTGGGATTGCAGGCGTGCACCACTACGCCCGGCAACAAGATCTATATTTGAACAAAAACTCTGCTAACATTTAATTTGAATTCACCTTTTACTAAAAAATGACAAAATTACTTTTGATTGGAAAATCCATGATTCTTTTCTTGTTTTGTATTTGAGAATTCATACTAGTCTTCCCTCTACTGATCCACATTCACAAAGTCTGATTTTGAAAAGTCCCAAAGAAGTAAGTAGCCCCCAAAGTAAAGCCCAGTCCAGGCTCCTGGTGCACCCTGCAGAGCAAGCTCAAGTGCATGTGGGCAAGCACATTTTGTATTGGCACCCATAATCTGACATGCTGAATATTCCTGAACAAAGCACTATGGGTGGAATTATGTCTTCCTTCCCACCAAATTCACCTGCTGAAGTCCTAACCCAAGAACTCAGAATGTGACTTTACTTGGGAACAGGGTCATTGCATGTATCATTAGTTCAGATGAGGTCAAAATGGGCATGGCAGGCAACATCAGTGAGTATATTTAGTGTGGTACTTTCTTATGTAGTCCTACCAAACTAGTATACTCGCTGATGTTGCTTTCTCACTTCTATAATCTGGCTACGGGAGAGCTATCCAAGAAACCAAACTGCTGCCCAAACATAACTAAGGCAAATCAGGTACAACAGGGGCCACCCAGAAGAGCATGCCAAAGAGATGAAGACCATCCAGGCTGACCTGTCCCTAATCTGGCAAACTTAACTGAGTAACACAGAAGTGATTCCTAGAAGAGCATGCCAGGGAGATGCTTGGAGTGAGGGACTCGCCTCTGGAGCAGCCTTTATCTGAGCCCGGTAATAAAGGCCATCTGGTTCCTTCCTTGCCAGGACCCAGGCGTTAGCAGCATCTCTAACTCTTCCCATCCAGCCAGGGTCCTGCCAGGCTGGGTCAGCAATGTGGAGACATGGGAGGTGCAAAGCATACCTGGAAAAAAGCAAACAAAATTATGGGTGAATACTAGAACCCTAAAAACATCAAGAAACATGTTTCAAAATTAGATCTGAGAAACACCACGGCATGTGAATGACATACAATGGGATATGGAACAGAAATTCATGGGGAATGCAGCAGTGCATCACTTCTGGTAAAATAAGGTAAACTTTTGGAAGGGCAGATGGTAAGGACACCAATAAACTTAAATAAACTAAAAAATAAATTAAAAAGGTGAGGACAGGTGAAGGGAACCATTGTTTTTGGATTGGGAACCAAAACATGATTGGCCTTAAATATTCAAGTTAATTAATGCTTGTTGAGAGTGAGTGATAGACCAGGAAAGTGCACTTGGAAGTGAGTCCTAAGGTACCAGTACTTGTGGACTCCAAGCCTTATCCTGGACTGAGTAGAGTGGACCATGACACCAAAGGAGCAAAGCTATAGGGCCCTTGGCACTGCAGGGTCTGAGGGATGGAGTGGGGGCTGGGGCAGGGGCAGCACAAGGAGCTGGGTACAGGAGCTGCACTGTAAAAGGAAAGGCCAGGCCTGGGGAAGGGTGTGGGCCGGGTCAGCTGGCCTCAGAGTGTGGGTGTTTGGGTTTTTGGAGAAGCTGTTTCGTGATGAAGCCTAAACACAAAGATGCTTAATTGGCCTTGAATAAGATGGTTCAAATAGGCTGATCAAGAAAGGGAGCAGTAAAGACAGTCCAGGCTGACCTGTCCCTAATCTGGCAAACTGAATTGAATAACACAGAAGTGATTCCTAGAATTTAAACAAAATGTCCATATTTGCATCGGTTGTAGACTGAGGTTCCTTTGCCCTCTTTTTTAAAATTAGTACATGGTTGTGATACGCAGTGAATACATTTATGTTGGGGAGTTGGTGCACGTACACTCACATCTTAATCCTTTTTATTTCCCTTTCCCTGCTCTTCCTCTCTCCTCCCGCATCTATCTCTACATCCCCTTCCTATTTACCAAAGGTCTCTCCCTGTTTTCTATTATCTGTCTTTTATTTTGCCATTTGAATTATTTACACTCTGCATCCTTTGTCCTCTTGCAGTGTACTTTGGACAGCTGACTGAGGACACTATTCAAGAAAATCCTGGATAGTTGAGGACTTTCCGCTGTCGTCCAGGGTTAGGATTTGAGAAGGAAGGCTGTTGGCTATGTGCTTGTCTAACTTCTGTGCTGAGTTATGACTCAGCTGATAATATACAGAAAACATCTGGAGCAGAAGTAGCTCAATATATGGTTGGATTTTCCTCCTTCCTGCCCAATGACAGGGACTTCGCAAACCCCAACCCTGATGGCAGCTGAAATGCATCTAGGATGAATTCTGAGGAACCCACAGAGTGATGTGGAGACCTCAGCCGTTAGTGGCTGGTGGCAGCAACCCTAATTTCTCATATGTGTTGCCCCAGCAAGTCCCACAGTTGATGGTAAAATGAGCTAGAAATCTTCTACCTGGGCATTACTGACTGCTTTCCCTCAACTGTAGTAGCCGCAGCTCTGCTGCAAGAGGAACCAGAGCCTTGTCACTAGAGGTCGCTGGGAGTACAGTGTAAACTGGGGTAAGAGACTTTTACCCCACGCAAATCCGAGGCCAGAAATTTAGTTCTCTCCTTCCTGGGGTGCACCATTCCCTGAAGAGGGGTGAGACCAGTACCTGGTGAGAGCATGGGCCCTGGGGAGCCCAGGAGCTCTGTGGGCAAAGGGGCAGGCGAAGGAGATGTCCCCAGGTCCAGCATCGCAGCCCCAGCCAGGGTCCTGCAGGATTGTGGCCACGCTGCAGTACTTCGGCAAAGGCATTGCGGGCTGCATTGCAGGAGGACTGTGCGGCCTTCAGAGAAAAAAACCACCTGGAACAAGCACCATGGTTACCTGAGTTCACCCACAGCCTGGCAGAGAAAGCCCAGATGCACAGCCTCTGGGGACAGCTGTGTCCTTGCACCCACACCCCCAACACCTGCTCCATAGATCCCAGGGTCCCTGTTGAACCTTTTGCCTCAGGAACCTCTGCTCAGGAAGCAGGGGAGAGTGGGAAGAGCAGGAGCTGTGGTTTTAGAGGAATCCCAAACTGCAAAATCCTTCACTGCCTCGTGGTTGGGTCTTTAACTTCTGTGCCTCAGCTGCGGCTCTAAGGAGACCACACCTGTGTATTAGTAGCTCAAGCTCCCTGGCGTTTTTCTCCTTCCTCCTCCCTAGGGGCAGGGACTTCTGTGGGGAAGCCCACCCTTCTCTTCACAAACCCCAACCCTGATGACAAAGCAGTCTCCCCACCTACGGGACTAACTCTGGCCCAGGCTGAGCTGAGACCTCAGGGCCGTGGCATCCATCAACTTGCTCAGAGGTGACAGCCGCCATGCAGGGTCCATTTTCAAACTTGGCTTCCCCAGCCTGCCACCCTCCTGTTAGGCTCTGCCCTGCCAGGTCCACAGGTCCGACCCCAAAGAGACTCAGCCACAGCCCCAAAGCAGACCTCCTCACCTCAGCCTCTGGCCCCTTGTGACAGTTGGAGCTCAGGCCCTCAGCCCAACTGACTCCTTGTTGCCAAGCAGGTCGCCATGGATGCAAGCAGGCAGGGAACTCTTTGGGCCCCTGGGAACACTGAGCATGCGTGGAAGGGTGCCAGCAGGCCTTGGGAGATGGGAGCGCAGGGGAGAGAAGTAGTTTCTTTTTCTTTCTTTCTTCTTTCTTTCTTTCTTTCTTTCTTTCTTTCTTTCTTTCTTTCTTTCTTTCTTTCTTCCTTCCTTCCTTCCTTCCTTCCTTCCTTCCCTCCCTTCTTTCTTCCTTCCTTCCTTCCTTCCTTCCTTCCTTCCTTCCTTCCTTCCTTCCTTCCTTCTTCCTTCCTTTTTCCCTTCCCTCCTCCCTCCCTTCCTTCTTTCTTTCTTTCCCTTTTGGTGGTGGTGTGTGGGAGACTGGTGTATCCTCAGTTCCCAAAAGCTCAAGTTTCCCTACTGCCAGCAGAGTCAACCACTGCAGGAGGAAGCCTCATGGACCCCAAGGGAGCCCTGTGTGAGCGGTGGGGAAGCGATTTCTACCCTATGAAGGCATGAGGCAGGCTGGGGCCAGGGGAGCCATGGCAGGCCGAGGGATTTTAAGAGAATTTGCCCATAGTTTAAAACAAAATGATCAAAGGTGTGAGTAAGTTTGTCTGAAGCAGACTGGACTCTGCTGAAGAGCAAAGAGATGGTGACCTCTAGGAGGGTAGGGAGCGGACAGTGTGACCAAAGGAACAGAAGTCTGGATTCTGCTCTGATTTGAACACCCATAGGAGGCTGGTATTCTGAGGCTGTGACAATCATTGTGTACTGATTATGTGTCTGACACTGTGTTCAGTGGAGACTACCAAGAAGGTACGCAGGGGTATCTGTGGGTGTCTCGCCCACATCCCTTCCCCTCTTCCACCAGTTCCTGTGTCTGTGCATCTATGTGGATAGAGCAGCCGGCTGTACCTTCAGGTCCAGGAGTGGAATGTGTGTGAATCAGGGGTTCCTCGTGCCTCTCCAGTCAAAGTGAACCTGAGGCTTTTGCTGGGAACATTGGGTTATAAACTTTCTCTTGCTTCCTATGCATAAATTAGAAAGCATATAATTCTGAGAGATTTTGATAGCCATTTTGGGACACTGAAACTGTTTCCAGAGAAACAAAAGATAGACCTAAAGAAAACAGGTCTATCACATTGTTGACAGATGGTTGGCCACCAAGTCCTCCAGTTACGTGAGGCAATACATTCCCTTTATTGGTTATGCCAGCTTGGATTGTGTTTTCTCTTTCTTGCAATTGAAAGCATCTTAGGTGCTGACTTTCCTCACAGAGCGTAACTTTGTAGTCAGCAAAGTAATGGTGGTCCAGGCCCATACACCTTGATGGATTAGTTACTTGGCACACAAATTCAAAGTCTAAGAAAGACTAAGGAAGTCTGGCTGTGAGAGAATGATTCCTAAATAAGACAGTGAGATTTCCCTTCCACTGGTGGAAGGGAAAAGAATATTCCTGTTTAGAAGGCAAGAGCAAAGAGAGAAGGATACATTTGCAAGACTGATTTTCTTTGGGGGAGCGGATTAGGGAGCCTGGGAAAAGCAAGGCATGGCTATTTGGGCAGGGGACAGATTGTAGGGTGTTTTGAAAAGTGAGCAGATAAATTTAAGCAACATAGGGGCTGGGGATTTAGCTCAGCAGCACAGCGCCTGCCTGGCAAGCACAAGGTCATGAGTTCAATTCCCGGTACCAGCAAAAATAAAAATAAAAAAAATTAAAATTAAAAAAAAAATTAGGCAACATAGCAGTTGAAAGGAGGTCATCAGGAAGTTTGATCGGCACAGCTGAAATGCTTTAAGAAAACATCAGCATGAGAGTGGCACCAGTGGAGAACAGAGCTCAAGAGGGCAGAGAGGAGATGGTTAACCATGAGCCAGACTCAGGTGACAGGATTGGAACAGGAAAATGGTAAAATGGATGTTTACTGACACCTCCCTGATTGGGGCTTTTTGCAGGATACAAGGAATGTAGCATGAGTAAGACTGCTATCTGTCTTTAATGAGCTTATAGTCTACTGAAAAGACAGCCAGGTATGTAAAGTGTGTAAGAACGGCAGGAGGGTAACTATAAGAAAAATACACATACAAAATGAAGATGCAAGCAATGGCTGAGACTGAAAGTTGGGAACCACTTCACAAAGACAAAACATTGAAGATGAGTTTGACAGATCATGAGAGGGAAGTCCTAGCTGGGCTTGGTGACAGATGGCATTAAGGGACCAGAAGAGCTGAAGTGAGCCATGGGAGTACAAACAGAGCACTGGTGAAGGCAGATTCTCCTCACAGGGTGAGGAAAGTCTGGATGCTGAAAGGTTTCTGGCCTGGAAGACCTAGAGGATGTGACATTACAATACAAAATAAAGACAACTATAAACATGATGATTAAAAATGATCACAAATACTAGGTGTCAGGCACAGTTAGTGCTCATAACAAACATTTGGTGAGTTGTTTTTTCTTATTTTATGGATGAAGAACAAGGACATAGAAGGAGGTTCAGCAATGCTTCAAACTGAGGCAGAATCTGCAGACTGCCTTCTGGAACTCTGTACTAAGCAGGGTAAGGAAGTCTAGATGCAGGAGAAAGATGAGTCTGAACTAATTTCAAACAACACCAAAGTTTTGTGAACTGTGTTTGCTAAGACGCTTTCTCATCATGGTCTTTCTTCAACTCTGAATTTTGACAAATCAAGGGAGGTTCGTTGTGATTGCTTAGCAAGAAGTAGTTACAGCGTGTGTGACAAGCATCATGTAGTCATTGTCAGAATTTTCATGTGTTTGTGGAAGCTTGTCACACTTGGGACTCTGGCCAAGTGTGTGAGAAGGACAGAGTGACAGGTCTGGGGAATCCTGGGGACTCCTGCTTCCCTAGGGCTCTTGAAAGAAATAAGCAAAGCATGTTCAGGTCTATTAAGAACTTTAGTACATCTGAAACCCAGGCGAGGAATATGCAGTATAGGTTGGCACTGGCATTACTATTTGCTAGCACAGGAATAACATTTAGGAAAAACTATTGAGTGATGCTGCAAGAGACCCCACTTTGTGAAATTATTTCTGTTGTTGAAAATGCTGACTCAAACAATTCTGAAAATAGGGTCAGCGTGGCAGCTGGAGGCAGCCATCAGGGAAGAGCCTTTCCCAGGGTTATTCTTGGTCTCAGCCTTATCAGGATACAGAAGAGACTGCAGGTAGTTAATGTATTTGATTGCAGCTCGGAGAGTTTCCACTTTGCTGAGCCGCTTCTCCAAATACTCCTCAGGCAGATGATGTCGCAGCTGGGCGTAGCCTTCGTTGACGCACTTCACCCGCTGCCTTTCCCGCTCGTTCCTCTTCCTGATGAAGGCGGGCCCGTAGGAGTACTCACACCTTCTGTAGTTCGGATAAGGCACCGGAAAGGGGAAGGGGTAGGGCTCACCATAATTTTCCACGATCAGGGAATCACTGGTAAAAGGCATCAGTGATAGCTCTTCGGAGTAAGGGGCGGGCACCTGGGCCTCAGGGTACAGGTGGAAAGTGACCATGGGGTCCAGATAGAAGGACCTGGGTAGCGGCAAGTGGGCAGAATCAGAGAAGACAGGAAATGTGTCTGGCGGATTAGAGTGGCTTCTATTGTCCATTATTTCCTCTTTAACCTAGAAATACAACCACGTTTGTTAATTTGGTCAGATCAAGAGAGCAGGTCTACTTTCTTAGAGATCAACGCTTTAAAGACTTAATGTTTTGTTGACTAGTTCCTGAGCTGGTTCTAAAAAGTAGAGCTGGTTACATATACTAGCCTGTGTGTAGAGAAAAGATTCTTTTTAAAAAGATAGACTTCCATCTTGGCTTTACTCTTTTCTTGCTCTGTGTCCTTAGGCAAATTTCTTAACCTCTGTGAACCTCAGCTGTTTTCTGTGTTCACTTCAGATATTAACTATCTTGCAGGGTGATGGTGAAGAGTAAATTAAAAAAAAAAACAAACCACATTAATGCATAAGAACAAAGAGTTCTTTGCCTCTTTGCCCTCTTCACAGATGGATACTTGTGTAGTAGCATCCCTTGCTCCACACCTTAGGGAAAACCTGGTTCCATTTCCCCAACACCAGAGAATCAAAACATTGATCAATTTGTTGAGATCTGAAGAAAACACTTAAAATGGAAAAGGAAAAGCAATCCGAAGTCTAATTGCGAATCTCCATAAAATAAGCACATGCAGCTTTCATTTAATTTCTCAAGGTTTTCCCCGCTATATCCTTAGGAGTAAGAGGTTATTCTCTGAGCGGTTCTTTAAACATAGTAGCATTTAATGAAAGAGAGGCCAAATAGACACTCCCAAAGCAGTCCAAATTTATGGTCAAGATTAGGTCCTGGTTCCTCTGAGGACAGCAAGAACTCTGCAGGTTGTGCTATATCCTGGAAGGTGTGGACGCCAAGACCAGAATTCAAGTGTGTTCCAATTCTTGTGAAAAAGCCTGAGTGTGGCTGCTGAAAAGACAAGAAATAGAGAAACAGAAAAAGCTGCAGGGGTTGCGGGGGTAGGGGAACCGGCTGGAAAAGGAGTTAGTGCCAGGAAAACTCTTCCTACAAAGGGGCAGGGGAGGAAGAGATAAGTGGGACAGAACTAATTAGAAATCAGAGAGGATCAGGAAATGAAAGATTCCAAGCTGCTGACCAAATGACCTAAAATAACTAACATAAAACAAAAATTTCTAGGAGATTAAAAGCTAGCCAAGTTTCTGTCAAAAGGAACAGTTTCTGAGAGAAGCTAGTTAGGAAATTCCCAAGCCAGGGGTTCCAAAGAGTAAGAGATAAGGGCCATGTATATCGGGGGTACAAAATGATGGCAAATGGATACGAAGCCCACACTACCACATTTCCGAGAGCAGCTTTATTTTTGCCTACAGCTAACAAGCCAGACTAGATTAACAATAGGTTCCCCAAAAGTAAAGCAGCGATCATCAAAGTCACTAACAATACAAAATGATATTTTTGAGTATGGTTTTAGCCTAAAAGATAATTTAAATAATATTGTAAATCATGACCCAGATGAAATCGGAGCAATTTGTATATGCCACAAGGAGTTTTGTTTCCAGGTTTTCACAAGATTGCATAATTTTTGGAGAAAGAGCACGGTGTCTCCTGAGAAAACGATGAGCAACTTTTGCTACTAAGGCTTTCCAGTA